TTTGCCTGACGTTCCATAACACATACCTTTCCACACACACACACACAATATTTTAAAGTAATAAAACATGATATGCCAAAGCGACACGATTTTAATATTCATACTTTAAAAATGGATAAGTTAACAATACAAGGTCTTGAGTAGGTTTGACAAGCTCTCAAACAGAGCACTGGGTCAGAGCACAATGGAAAGAAGAAAAAGTGCAGCAGAGGAGTGGGATCTTTAGAGGAACAGTGGTGAACCATGACGACAAGTGCATCAAGACAAACCACATGCAGGAAACACTGTACGGTGGAGAAAACCCTGTGTGGTGGAGGAAACACTGTATGATGGAGAAAACACTGTATGGAGAAGAAAACTATTGCAAAGTACAAAGCCAGAAATGCAGAAGAGAGGCACATCATAGAAATAAACCAAAGCTCGGCAATCAGCCTGTATTGTTTTCGCATGGGGGAGAATAAGCAGCTCGAGCAGTTGAAGCTCTTGACACATGAACGAAACAACTTCCTCCTTCCACCTCCTGAGCATCAGCTAAAAAGGCACACGCCCAGCCTATTTACCCAATATATCACTTTAGCATTCAAGTTTCTGTAGATGCAAGTGCTGCAGTTCAAATGCCAATTATGTTGAGAGCCAACTATGGTCTTGGGCTGTTGCATCACACGGTACAGATATATTTGAAACTACAAAATGAATTGCATAATGAATCTGTGTACCTTGTGCAGTGGGTCATCTCTGTGTAACAAATGCCTTTCACTGCCCACATCCGACTGTGAAAAACAGCCATTCCATCATGAATCATAATTTCAGCTCGTCTCCAACAGGTTTGTCTGATCCAAAACAGTGTTTCATCTGTACGCAAAAGAGGACTTTCGATCAGTCGACATGAAAAGAAACTCAAAAGGCCTTGTGTTATTTATGAACACGTTTAGGACCTGATGATTTAATAACTGCACAGCCAATTTAATTAAGTAATCTAGCTCATTTTACAGACCAAGGTCACCCAAAGCACTTTATAATTGTTGGGAGTTATTATAAAATGTGTGTTTGTATTGCAAATTTATTACAATAAAGCAGGAGAATCTCACTAAACCTTATTCTTAAATTCTGTACATAAAAAAAATGTACTGACACAAAATAAACATTATGAGAAAGCCATACTTAGCCATAAAAGCCACATTTATCTTATAACAAATAAAATGTGCACAGAATCTTACAAAAAAACATAACATTTTACCATGTTGATTGTCATTATTATGGCAGCAGGCTCAATCGGGAATGTGGTTGGCAATACTGAACAAGAAATGGGCGGAGATGACTGTTTAAAATTGTTTTTAAACTGTATAGAACTCTCAAGAACATAACACCGGAATCAGCCCATTTTAAACCCATATGCCTTCACTCTATAGTTTTTTTGACCCAACATCTGCCAAAGTCTTCTAAGACACGGCCGCACGCACCAGTATCATTTCAATGGCACTAAAAATAAACAATTCTCATTAATTATCTGTATTCAGCTTCTTTTAGACATGAATAAGTCAAGTCTGCGGGCCACAAAAGCACCCGTCACTCTGATTGTAGGTCTTCGCCGGCAGACATGGCATCCTACACGCCGCGCTGCACTTATCTACGTCCCTCCCAAGCTATTAGGGGCTTGTCTCCGCGGGCAACAGCCTCCTATATACCTTCAATCCGGCAGGTCTGTATCTACGCCTGCCTTTAGATAGGGCTGCCACTTTCGATTAGTTCTCAAAAAGCCTGCGATTACCTTTTCTATTGGAACCAAACAATTAAAAAGGTGTCATTACTTTGCCTGCACTTTTGATTACAACTCCTGACGGTGGGAGACGGGCACAAGTGATTCAACTGAACATTCGATTTGTCGTTACGATTATTTTAGTATATACTCAGATCTGTCCAAGTCAAAAATGATTACTATTGTTAGTTAGAAATGTTTGTAATTGACATACTTATGTGTTTATATGGATGCCTTTTCTGCTGCTGGATACCTGAATTTCTCCTACAAAAGGAAAATTATGTATCTATCTATTATTGCTGGACCAGTTTAGAAGAAAAAAAGAAGTTCCCTGTAGTTGGAAAGATAAGTGAGCTGCCAAGATCGCCGCACTCAACTGTAAAATAAATGCCATTAGCGCCAGGTTACAGGTCTTAAACTGGACCAAAGTGAACCTGAGGCCAATAGAATCCAAACCCAGCCATTTCTAATCCTGGCTTCTGCACAACTCTTGAGACGAAGTGAAAGTGCCGTCCATGGGGTTGATCCTTTGTTTGTTTTGCTGTATTTATATAATGTTTTGTGGCTCGACTGCTGAAAAATAGATGAAGAAAAAAAACAATGTGAACTGGCTGATTAATTCTCTCCATAACAGAACATTGGAAATAGACTAGGAACATGCCGTTTCCATGGAGCTTATGGAGCAAAGACAAGGACAAAACATTTATAGTGAAAGTTATGCAGCACATCCATAAAAAACAAACAGTGCTCATCAATCATCGTTCAAATACTGCAAAATACTGGATTTGAGTTGATGAGAAGTCGTTTTAGTTCACAGTGTGGGAAAAGCGTCAAAGTTGCAGGTTTCCACATGTGAAGAAACCTTTTTAATAATAATAATTCCGGAACAGTCTCCAAAAACAACAGTTTGTTTTTGTAGTCCTGCTGCGGCGGGTTTGTGAGGGTAGCAGAAGTGTAAGAGCGCTAATGTTTAGTCCTGCTTTGAGACTGTGTGTGAATCGGAGTTTTCTGGGCAGACGGCCAACAGCAGGAGCCCTAACTGTTGACAAGATCATATCCGACCAAAGATTTTTCTAGTTTTAAAACAAGCTACAAGCATGTTTTAGGACAAGTGGCAAAAATCATGGCTACTTTATGTACGAGCTCTGGCCTGCAGCTAAAGACCTGTGTAATGGGATATGACAGAGTTCTACGCTATAGTCCCAAGTGTGCTCTGCGCTAAATTGAATATAAATTGAAATTTGAGACAATTGTAAGAACAAGTGGTCATGGACAAGAGGGGAGCATGAAGTCCAGAGGTTTCAGACAACCAGAAGAAGCAAGTCTGGTGGCCGCTCGCTCTAAAATATTAATAAATAAATAATTTTTTTGCAAAACCATTTTTCCGAGATATGAATGATAATGCAAACATGTTTTTCTTCACTCATTGTTTAAGGTTGTATGAAGCCACTTATTTTCCAAATGAACGTGATTTCCGTTTCAAAATTTCAAAATGATAATGATCTTTCAGCCCCCGTTGAAAGATCAAGGCTATGCAATAGAGCGGCCATCCTCCTGTGGACCACCTGCAGAAGGATCAGTGAGGGGCGGGTGCCATATGTACTGGGTGGCATGGCCAACCCCCCCCGACCCAGAAATGGATGGATGGATGGAAAATTATAATGACGACTACTCTTCAGACCATGATTAGAATTTCCCATCACCCAGATCAGCATATATCACTCCTTTAAAATCTCTGGGAGCCTTGGGAAACCTTCACATTCTTCTGCAGTCTGGACTTATGCCCCTTATGAACCAATACTTAACTCTTCTCTATTCTTTGTGTTTGAACTGTTTGATTCTCTGATCTGCGTTGGCGATTAAAATGAATTGATTTATTGGCAAAAGAAAGCCTCTAGTTCCTGTAAATTCCTGGGCTGCGTTGCATGAATTACACATCTGAGATCTCCACAGATTGACTCAATTATGTTGTAATTTGAAAATAGTAAACCTGATGTTTTTTTGACAAACAACCATTAACTGTGAACAAGTGAAAACAAATATTTTAAAATGTGGTCAATACAGTTCTATTGTAGCCCGGCCCTGTAAACTTTCAAGCACTTTCAAGCACAAGGTAAGTCCAAAAACTCAGCAAAACAAGAAACAAAGAAAGATAAATTACGAGTGAAGATACAGTCCTTCAGTTGTACGCACAAATAAACTATTTTTAACATGGATTTGACCATTGTCGGAGTAGAAGTTTTTCTCACATTTTCAGGAAGATTGTTCCAGATTTCAGCTGCATGAATCTAAAACCCTTGTACTGGTAAATGTGCATCGAGTGGCAGAGAGAAGTCTGTCTTAATGAACGGCGTTTCTTCAGTGAAAGAAAGATTATAATGGAGGATCAAGGCGATTATCATGTTCGCCAAATAACAAAGCCCAAATTCTAAGCCGTGGGACAAATCCAAAATGTCAAATCAATATCTGCAGATTTACTATTTTCAGTGACAACTCATAATTTAAAAGGGCAGACACAAACAGATTTGTTCCACAAGCAGCCTGGTAGAATAATCTTTTCCTCTAAGCTGAAGAATGAAACCAACAGACCTCACAGAGTACATTTTGGCACGTGTCCCACCAGTTGAGAAACACTGCACTACCTTTTCCTTCCTGGTTGCCTGAGTCTATAACCCCAAAACACTCAATTATAAAATATAAGACTGAATTGAACAATATATCAGATATAACAACAATGCATCTAGAAGAATAGAATAGAATAGAATAGAGTTATTTAGCCCAAGATAAATCCTAAAATAGGAGGTTTGGGTTTAGTGCTCGTGTCTGTGTGCATGTGGAGTGGCTGGCAGAGCTTTTCTGGGCAGCATTATTGCATTTTTCTTCACTCAAATGCCATCTTGACATTTCAGACGTGCTTCCTGCTTCAAAATCTACCAAGCACAACTATCAAATGATGGCACACATGCAGACGTAGAGGTGGGCTACTTAATTACACAACCTTGGATTATGTTGACCAATAACCTCCATGTGATGTGACAGTCCGGGGAAGACCAGATGGGCACATACAGTCCTCAAATCTAAAATTTAATTAGTTATGTGATGTTATGTTAAGCGACCACACACACTCACTCCAAACTTGTACTGTTCTGGACCACATCCACAACATTCAAAAACGTCTAACACAAAATTACCCCAGACCCTGTTCATAACTTGGAACACAGAAATGGGGAAGGGGGGTACATACCCAGTAGCAGTAACTTGACCTCTCTGGCCGCCTTCTCGCCATCCTCTCGCAGGTTTTTGTCAATCATTTTGGACCTCTCCGCGGCGGCCTTATCTTCTGCGCTCACCGTACAACCCATGGCTCTTTCGCACGCCACAAATACAAACACGAAAAGCCTCTTCTTAGGGGACGATGATGTGTCTTTCCCCCCCTAAAAAAATGCCACCACCACTGAGAAAATGTCCACAGAATATCAAAAACAACGCAGGCAGCTTCGCGTTTCCAGTAAAATAGGGTGGAATTAATACAAGCTGGGTTATATTTCAGGAGAACAAGGCAAGTCTCGCTGTTTCACTCAAACTCACAGCTCAAAACGGTTCATTTGAGTTGATTTTCGGTGTGCTCACTGCTGATCCATTTCGACTATACGCGCAATCGCTTCGCATCCATTCGCTCCAAATGCCAACGCACACGCTTTCCCTTCGCCACGGCCTGTCCTGCTTTACGCACGAGTCAGTCTCCCTCTTTAATTACCGAAACATCCCCACTTGACGCTCATTTTAATGTCCATAAAAATGTGTTGTTAGGGAAAATTAGAAAAAAATAAAAAGTCCCACGTTGGCACATTCAGCGAGGCTCGAAGCGCGTCTGTCCTCTCCCCAATTAGGACAGGTGAGTGTTCACAGCATGGCGAGCTCTGAGCCAATTAGAAAGAAAGCGAAGTGAGGCGTGATTTTTGGAGAGCGAAGAGTGGTGTTGTGGCGTGAGGACTGCAGTGGGCGCTGTGCCACCCATTCACAGTGTGTTTCCTCTCTCCCAATCTGCGCTAATCTCACACGGACTATGGATGTGACACGGTGATAATCTGGGTTTGGTCACGGGAAGGGCTAAAATCAAAGTGCGCCATGGTCACAATAGAAGACGTGTCATTTGTTTTATGAAATGCCTCTTGACACCACAGACTGTAGCACTCGGCACGTACTCGGGCTGAGAGAAGGTGAACAGCGCCCTCGCGTGGATGTGTGGAGTGATTGTATGGGCTGGGGTTTACAAGATACAATTATTGTGTTTTGATCATTTGTATTGTCAATGTATTTATCCACTTATTTATACAATGATATCACATTAAATCAAAATCAAACTGTAACAAAAGCAGAGGTGGAAAAAGTCTAGAAATACTTGCCATTGATCCATTGGTTATCACTGCAAAGGCCTGAACAATCATCCTCGTCATCATCACACATTTTCATTATAGTTTTTTTCTGCTCAAAACATGGAATTCTTGCAATAAGCAGGATCTGCAACAAATCAATTATTTTAATAGTTTATACAAATCCCATAATCACTGGAAATTTAGGGTCTTTCAGCAAATTGATTAATTGATGTTCAGTTTGATCAGGAACCACCGGAGCTGGAGGAGGTAGCCTGTTGCATGGTTTGGGTGGTGGGGGGAATCCGGAGCACCTGGTGGAAACCCACCCAGATATGGGGAGATTGATTTTTCAGTTCAGTCAGAGACACTGTTGACAGGTAGATAACAGATTATCTTTCCTAAACTTTCCAAACTCTATAGAAATGCTGGAAGATGAACACTAACACGTGCTGTATGTGCTGCTTGAGCTCGTGTCTGCGTTGACAAAACAAGCAAGCAAGTTGAGCAATCACCTCATGTTCAGGTTTTTCTGTTTCTATAAACACACAGATAAAACTGCAGCTCATTGAATTGAAGAAATACGACAAGGGACACTATAATAAAAACATCTACAATTATTTATTGTCAAACTAAAATCTGCCCCTGCTATTTACACTTTACAATAAGCTACAGTGAATATGCATTACAAATATAAAAGGTTTACATGTACATACATTAAAAATCTTCACATTACAATGAGCGCATTGTCTTATTTTATAACATTAATGCTCTCCACCACTACCATCTTTTACAAATCTAATTTGGAATAAGCATGGACAATGTGTAAAATGTTCAAAAAGACATAAATCTCACAAAATATCATTGTTTTCATGAGAAAGGTTATACTTTTATTCTTTCAAATTACACAAAGTTAGCCTGTCCAGAAAAGGTTTAACATTGAGTGTTACAGTGATATTGTTCATATATATGATATGATAGACTGTATATATATTTTTTTTATATATATGTATGTTTGTGTGTTTTAAGGTTTATGAAATGCCTCCCTTTCAACTCATTATTATTTACATTATACACAGGGTCCACAATTATTCAAAGTTCGGACTGTAAAACAACAATTGCATGACACTGATTAAGGTACAAACAAGTGGCACTTTTAGTTTGCATTTTGTTTGCAAAGTTACATTTCAAACAGCAGGTAGTGAGTTGTTATTTTGGCATGATCTCCTTCAGAACATTGCTCTGTCACATGTCAAAACAAAAACTTTAGAGCAAACCACCGTAAAAAAGCAAGGGACACTCTTCTGTTATCCATCGAGCAACACTTTGATCCAAAAACTGTAACTAATTCATAAATAATGATTTTCTTTATACATAGATGATTTTATGAAGCAGCTTTGACGTATAAGGAGGAGTGAGAATCTGAGCGGCACAAGTGACGTTCTGCACGTTCTGAAATCAGGAAAGGCATTCAGTAAATTACCCGAGACAGTAAAGGATACGTATCAGACTACACTGCCGGCCCTTGTTCGGCCATGTTGTAGTTCAGGTGTTAGAAAATCTGGGGCACCATTTAATCTACAAAATATGGCAATTGATAACTTACTAACTGGTACATATCAATACATAACAATATGTTCAACCATATGTTATCATTGACATGGCCTGTACAGTCAAATCAACAATGTACACATGCAGAATATATGTTTTGTTGGGCCTTAAATGTATACAAAAAGATGTTAAAAAATAAATCAAATCAATGAGGTGCATGATGTGATCTGATTTGTTGAAAGACTCTTTCTGTTGGGACAATCTCAGTCCAAATGTTAGGTACCCCAGCTTTAACATGTGTTTCATGTAACTTAGTATGAATGGAGCAAGATGTAAATATGTCCTTTATTTATCTGAGTTGCCGTGGGTATGAATTGTGCTATGTAAATAAACTTGCCTTGCCTTTGTTAATTTAACAAAAAATCACACTTGTTCCGGTCAGATTCTTACTTTACAGTCAATAGTTTTAGTTTATAGATAGTTTTCTTTGTACATATGCACAATAATAATCATCCATAGTAACATAGGACAAAGCGTTTCCTTTGCATATGAATGGATGAGTGCAGTGCGGTTCATGTCGCTGCAGGTGGGACGCAGCGTGAACCAGTCAAGAACATGTGACCACACCCACCAGCGGGTTTGAAATCCTCTTGATCAGCCAAGCACCTACATCTAAAAACCAAAACTCCATATTTTTAAAACATTGATCTCTCAAATGACACAGACACACATTTTAAAATAAGTAAATACATCAAATGCACTATGATACAAGAAATATAGAAACCTCTGATTCTCCACAACAATGACACCTTTTGGTGAGGGATGGCACTGCGGTGGTGGAGAAAGTAAGTATATCTTATTTCTTTGTTATGTTTTTAAGGATTTAGAAAAAAACAGTAAATGGTATTAATGTGTAACTTTAACAATTACATGTTCTTACTTTCCCACATTATTACTCAAAGTCACACTACATAGGTTTTCTAGGGGAGGGCACGTCAACACTTGAATGTGCCACACTTTGTAGCCATTTAACTTTGCATTATGCAAAGTATTGTCCCTTGTGTGTACTTTTAGACCCACGTGTAAACAGGGGGCTATGAACCCGTTTGGTTTTATTGCTGAATAAATTACTGCTATATTTGGTTATAGTGTTCACACTGAACACACCTCTGCAAAAAAGACTTGATCACAAGGCGATTTAAAGGTCCGTGTCTCTCTTTGTGTGAGGAAGAAGCAACTCACTGTTTTGGTTAAATATAATAAATAAACAGTTTCTACTCATTTTAAATGACCGCATAGAGAAGCTATTATAAAGGCAATAGAGAACTTAATCTTAGCTCAGATAGATCACTTTGTCATCTCTCACCAAAAGTTACATAGTGGAGCTTTAACCCAGCAAAAGAGATGAAGATTTAAATATTTAATGTGGAAACATTTCAATCAAAAGCAGAAAGAATTATTTATTATTATACTTAATCTGTGATTAAAAACAGAACCAGTCTCTAAATAAATAAATGTTCCTGACTTAATATGTCTCGTTTTGAAAAGGCACCATTTCAAGTGTGATTAAGAGGCCATTGGACGGATTCTTGTTCTAAAACAAAGGCTATTCTCCTTTTGTGCGTGCTATAATGTTTATCAGTATGTTCTAATGTCTTTTGTACAGTACCAGCTGCAGTTGTTACAGAGAACATAATCTGCTCAATAGTATTTTGTAAATAAAGCCACTGAGGTCTGTTTTGATGTGAATAATCTTGAACTGTGATTCCCCATTGAACAGTTTCCCCGATGCAATGACCTGTTTGTTCTCATACGTAACAATAGTAGTAGTAATCATAGTAGTGATAGTAGAAGTGGTAGTACTAGTAGACCTTCTAGTCGTAGTACTTTAAGTAGGGCAGATGAGGCTAGTGTCCACCTGCAGCACGACTGGCTCCTGTTGTCCAGTCCATAATAATGAAACTTAAACTCATCACCATAAAGGAAACGCCCAGTGCAGCAAAACACGCAGCCTGCAGGAGAAGAGCACAGACAAGTGTTTGAATAACATGAATATATGAGCACTGTGGCTAAAGTCGAGAAATACACTGCAGAAGTATGTATGTGTTCTCATTTCAGGGTTGATGTGACTCGGTACGATTCTGCTCCGGTTCCGGTTTAGCTTTGGGTTTATTTCTTACATTGTCAACAACAACAACAAAAGTGTAATAAACAACCATTATGTAATTATAAAAAAAACAAAGGAAGGTTGTTCACCCAAAATGATGTAATTATGTGCATTTTTTCTTCCTTTGAGCAAATATTTCAGAAAAGTGTATGTTTATGTTTTGAGAATTGAGTCGAAACATGATGTTGGTAATTCAATTCATCGTGCTAACTACAAAATGAGTTACATAAACAGAAAAACTCTGTAATGAAAACATCCAAAAAGCATCAAAGAGAAAAGCGTTTGTTCTCACCAGTATTTTTGGGACAGACGTCATCGGTTCTTTGTCTTTAGGGACGATGCGGATGTAGAACACGGCGGGAAAGATGAAAATCAGACATGGGGCAGAAGTGGCACCTGAAACATTAGGTTTAGTCGTTATTACGACTAAAATTGCTGTTTTATTCTTACATAAATTTGGGTGAATTAGTGTGAAGCATAGAAACCTGTGATGGTTCAAACGTGTGTCAAAAGTTATTCATCTGTTTATGTGTCTGTTGCACATGAGCACTGAGGCTGCGTCCCTGGCCTTTAGTCTCCTGTTCTTTCATCTTTTGAACTTTTAAATGTGAGCCCTATTCTGAGGGTCTCCAGTGGTGATTATATTGACTCAGGCCAGAGTAAACACTGGTCATGTCTTCCAGATTTCAGCAGAGTGTCAACAAAAGTCCAGTCAATGGCCACAGAAAAAGTGACCTCATGAATCATGAAAAGCAGCATTCCTGTGTAAATTAATAAAATGATGATAAATTATTCAAAAATCAACAATAATTATAGGAAGAAATAAAAATATATTTCAAACTATTGTAATTGGGTCATTCTTGTCAATAGTCTATAGTGTGTGCCGAACATGACAAGACGTTAGATGATATTTTGTTGGTGTATTGAGTTTACGTCAATGAGGATGATGTCATTTATAAACTCTGGTTTACTTTGGTTTGTGTTGAGTAATGCCTAGCGTACATCAGACTGGCAACTGATTATATCCGTCGCATATGAGTTGCTGCCCCGCACACATCGACAATCTGACGAAAACGGGCAACTCCCAGTAGCAGACCAGTCTCGGGAATAACAGCGCGTACATCGACAGCAACTGGCCTCAACTACAGTGTGTTTTCTGACATAAACTGTTGCGGGCTCGCAATACACGCAATACACACACGTTGTCGGAGCGGCGCATGGAGCGCGCACATCGGGTCATATCTCCGAAACTGAGGACAACTAGTTGCGGAAAAGTAGAACACGGGCAACTGACTGAAACTGGAGACCGACTGTTTATCTCCAGTTGTAAGAGCGCTCACATCGACCGATTTCAGCAACTGATCATCTCCATCATCTACATCATCTCCTCTCAGTCGCCAAAAGCCGTCTTGCAACTAGTTGTCTCCAGTTTCTCTGTCGATGTACGCTAGGCTTAACTGTTCTGTCTTACCAATGAATCCAAAGATTCCCAGGATGTTTGGAGCAAAGATGACGAGCATGTTGATGATGGTGAGCAGCACCACAGCGATGGCGATGTGTCGGATCCAGTTAAAGGACTTTGTGGGAAACGCCATATGCTGAATGGCTCTGCGCACCTACACGAGACAAACATCAGCAAATCAACCGTGTTAACCTCAAATCATTTTATAATCTAGAAGCTTGTCTTTGCTTCAGTGATAAAGAAACACATTAGTGTGTGCATCTGTGATCATGTTGGTGTGAACCACGCTGTACTTTAAGTGCCTTTTTATACAAGTTTGCTTTTGATAATCACAGCAGGAACAACATGGATACTAGTCATAATTACAGTATTTGGCTCTTATGGACTCAAAGGCATACAGCGTACCACATGGTCGGGACCAAGTTATTTATTCGGTACGCATCTTTAAATCTCCTGCACAGGCCAGGCCCTCGTGCTGGCTCCTCCTGCTGCCAGCCTGACACTTGCAGGTTTGGTTTGGCTTATTTCATACACACTTCCAACACTTCCAAAAGTACTGTTTTGTATCACAGTGAAGGAGAAGCCAATTTTGTTTACTCCAACTCATGCAGGACATTTTCATATCGAAGGCCACCAACATGAAAAGAAATAGATGCAAAAATCTTACAGGGAACAGTACAATGGGGACGGTCAGTGTGACGGCCGTGAGCACAGCCACTCGCACACACAGGATCAGGGTGTCGTACGGGTCGATGCGGCTGTATGTGTGCAGCAGCTCTGGTTCCACTTTGCCTGAATACAAAGAAAATATGTTTAAATCAGTCTCACAGCAACATCAGGAGGGAAGACGTTTTTACAAGTCATGTGTAAGTGAGCAGCTACAATATACACAATATACTGTATATGAGAGAGAGTCTTGCTACTCTTATATACCATAATATTCTCCATGACTGTACCACAAAACAGTCATATTCTAAGTATTCCAAATTGTAACCGTAATTGACGTGCTTCTTATGTAAGCAATAGGCCTGTCACAGGTACGGATTTGGATATATTGCTTCAGAAAATGATTGTGATAAACGATAATATTGAAAGGACTTATTGCCACTCATGCAAGCACATGACAGCAGGAAAAGATAGGACAAGAAGAAAATTAACAGCAGAATTAAGTGATGTTTAGTCATATTGAAACCTCTGCAGCTAAAACGATATTGTTTCACAAAGAAAATAGCAGAAATCTTTTCGCTTTAGCAGAGAAAATGTCGAGACAATAAATAGACCCAAAATACATTGTTAAGTCCATTAGTTTTGGACGATAAGATAATAATTCTGACAGGCCGAGTAAGTAATACATTTTTGATATCCATGTACGACCTATCTATTTGTACACCATTAAGCATTTGTAGCAAGATTATCCAGCAACACACGCTTTGATTATTAAGCCGCTATTATCAACTAATGTAAATATTGACTTCAGAAGCCATTGTCTCACCATAAAAGGTCAGGTAGCCAAACAGAGCAGCCAGGAAGTACATCGTGTACATGACAAGAATGGAAAGGTTGGACACTTTCTGCATTTTCTGCTTTGATGGGCTGAAACCAAAGCATAAAGTCAGTGGATACAAAGTCCTTGAATATAACATTCAGTCTCGGTAAGGGGATGTGGGTCTCACTTTTTTAGCTCGGTGTAGATGGGAAGGACCTCAGGGTGGCAGACAAAAGCGAAAGCCAAGATAGGGATGGTGTACGCCGTCTGTGAACAAAACATTTCAACAATTACTCCATTTAAAAACATTAAGGGCCAATAATAGGGCCAACATGCAGCCCTGTTAATATCCAACACTGAGCATGTATTCCAATGTGGTTTCACTGCAGATGGCAAAGAAACTGAATCTGAATCTGACTTTTCCAATATCCTGTTTCACAAAGGCTTGTCTGTAGGGTCAAGCCTTTGCTCAAAACATGCATTATCCCTGGACATTGCATTATGGAATATTTTTTGCCTGACCGTAAACTGGATTTGATTAGATTTACTGATTCGTTTCAAACTGGTGTACATACATTTGAGCGAAAAAAGAAACTGAAACAATGTGAAAATCCTACCATTTTCTCTTAACTATGCAGTTTTTTTTTATAGCCAGATACAGTATATTTTAGTTCAGTTAAAAGAAAGTGTTCTGAGCAAATACTTTTAAAAGTCTTGCCAATAACAAAACATGCTGAAGATTGGAACTAAAGGAATATCAGAATAGAAAATTAAAAAAGTACAATTTGCGTAAACTTAGAGAATTTACCACTAACTCTAAGATTCTGCCTAACTTTTATCGCTGCACCATTGAGAGTTTACTTGTTGGTTCTGTGTCTGTGTGGTTTGGAAACATCACAGATAAAGAAAAGAGAGCTTTAAACAAGGTGCTCCGCTCTGCAAAGAGGACCGTGGGCTGTGAGCTTCCTGTTCTGGAGGTTCTTTATAAATCCAGACTTTTAAACAAAGCTCTTAGGATTGTCAATGACTCTTCTGGCCACCCTGGGAAAGCCATGTTCCAGCTTCTTCCCTCTGGCAGAAGATATCGCTCTCTGAGAGGCAGGACACGGCACTGTGGCTGAGTGGATAGCACTCTCGCTTCTCAGCAAGAAGGTCCTGGGTTCGAATCCCGGTCGGACCAGGGCCTTTCTGAGTGGAGTTTGCATGTTCTCCCCGTGTCTGCGTAGGTTTCCTCCGGGTACTCCGGTTTCCCCTACCACTAAAAATATGTCCAATAGTTCTGGCATGCGCCTCCTGTACTGGCGACCCCGCTCCCATCTCTGTGTGGAGTGAGAGATAAATGCCCAAAAATTAACAATTGTAAACCGCTTTGAGACTCAGATCTGCAGTGAAAAGGCGGTATATAAATAAAGATTACTACTACTACTACTACTATTACTAAAGGACATCTCGTTACGCTAACAGTTTTTATCCACAAGCTGTTATCAGTTTGAACAGAGCACTTTAATGATTTGCACTTGTTTTGAAACTGTTTTAGTCGATCGATTTCACAGTGACATTTGTTTACTGTTTTATTTGTTTTATTTCTGTCTTTTAATGTTGTTTTATGGCTGTATTTGTCTGTGCACACTGGTGACTTTTTGCTAATGTATTCCAATGTGGTGTTTTTACTGCAAATGGAAAATAAACTGAATCTGAATCTGGGTTGTAAAAATGGGATGCATGAAGTAGACGCACAGACAAGACAGAGGCCCAAAGACTCTCTGACCCTACACCTCTCTCCCACTATTCGCTCAGTCACTTTCTTTCCTCCATGCACGTCAACGTTTTCACCTTTGTTGTTATTGTTGTTATTGTGTTACCTGCTTTTATAACACAATTCTCACATACTGTTTCACTTCACTTTGGGACAAATACCTGTATCTATATTTGAGTCTCAAAAAGCGTCACTGCGGTTACCTGGGAGTTGATGGTGATCATTTGTGGGGTGCAGTGGCTGTCGTCCATCACTACGTCCGAGACATTTACTGCGTGGTGCGTGGAGGTGCCGTTACTGGAGAACTCCTCAAATGGGCAGGGGATCTGAAACTTCTTATAGGTGACCTACAGGGACATACAAACACACAGTTTTATTTATTTATTTATTTCAATGTGGACATAACAATAAATAAATAAAAAACCCGAATGAGAAGGTGTGTCCAAACTTTTTGTCTGTACTATATATCACGCAAGTTAGGTCAACTGCATTGGCCCTAATACTAAAAGGTTTGGAAACCCCAGAGTTAGATGGATCGCATTTCTAAGTTCCATATTTTGTGATTTGAAAGTTAGGTAAGTTCAAGCAATTAATACATAAAATCTAATGAATGTCACTCTCAATAAAATAGATATATTTCTGACAAATGAAAGAACCATATTTTGGAAAGAACCTAAAAAATGAAATACTCCCAGTGGTAGACAATGTGAAGGAGAAAAGCAAATATTCTATTTTATAAGTTATGACTTGACTTTGGGTGCAGAGATATCGTGGGGTCCAACAGATATTGATAATTTCTCCTTTAAGTGGTAATTTTCTTTATAACTAAGGCTATAAGCTACAAAGGGTAACAGATATGTACCTGTAACATTTTAACTGTAAATGCGGACCTGAACTATGAAAGTATTTAGATAAGATAAGATACTGGAAAAATGTACATATTCCGTGGTATATGCTCGTTTTCTATATCCTTTCCAGGGAGCTACCTGGAAAGGGTAGTGCTCTACATTAAACACTGCGTGTTGTAGACCTCCACTGTAAATCTTCTAAACATGTTCTGAATGTGTGCTCCCTACAGAGACGGCTACACCAGACCTTTTGTCAAATGTCAATATGTCAAAACATCATCAGTCATACAACGTGATAACAGTGGTAACAGAAGTGCCATCATTCAAACTACCATAAAACAAACACACAATGCATAAAGGTCACATAAAATGAGGCATCAACAAAACATACAACACCACACTGGGACTATAAATTAACTTGGACAAAATCAGAACTAAGCAAACACAAGAACCAAACCAAGTCTACATCAAGTCTGAACAAACCAGGAGTGCAATATCAAGAGTATCCTCACAACTTGATCTCTCAATAAATGTTTAAAGACAAAGGCCTATTGCAAAAAGAGGCCCTTCCAAGTTATTAATAATTCAGATCTGGAAAATTGTATAGAATTTGTATCAAAGGCCCAATATATTTTGCCACAGCTCTGCATGTGAGTTTTTCATAAACTTTCTCAAATCTTGAAAATTATCATATGGGGTAGTAATATACAATATAGACCTTCACAGGTAATGTATTCTGGGTTGTTGCAGATTAGCAACATCGGCCTGTTGTGGTAACTATAGCCGACTTGGTTAAAAACCCAGAGGAAATTGACATGTATTGTATCTACTGTAAATGTATATATTCATCTTTCAATGTATGCCGTTTTGGTTTCAAATTATTGTCATGATACTGACTTGAAATTGATCTGTTTCGGTGAAACCAAGGAGACTGACATTTTGGAAGTGAGACAGCTCCGCCCCCATGTGAGCCGGTGTAGAAATGTGTGTTTCTAAAGCTCAACTAAGTCTAGCAGTGATACTTCTGAGTAAGAAAGGGTCAAAAATATGAATGTGGAGTAGGTTGATAATAAGAAATTAAGTTGTTGCAAATCTACAACAACTGCCTGGAGAAGGTTAAACAATTAATAATTCATAGTATTGTTGCATTAATTTTAGGGTTGTCAAAATTATCGCGTTAACTCATGTTAATTGCATTTTTCATTAACGCATGTCTGAATGACCCGCCTATGTATAATAATATCACTCAGAATGCCACGAACATATGTGTGTGATGATGACAGAGCAGGTCTCTGGGAATTCAAGTTTTAAAAGAATACGCGCATGACTGCGGGGTTGTTGATTGCCCTGAACTGAAGTCCCCCTCCTCCGCGGCCGCTCTGGTTGTTCTTAGCGGCTGTGAGCCACTAACAACAACACGGTGAATGGCGCCGCAGTAACGTAAATATAAGTAAATATAAGACTATAAACACAAAGAACCTGTGCGTAACCTGTGCTCGCAAATACACAGCTGAAGCTGAACTATGGAGCCTCAGGGAGTGTCCGTGTCTCCTCCGTGTCTCCCCCTGAAACGCCACCAAAACTTGCTAAATTAAAGCTGGGGTGTGTGCAATTTTCCCGTTCATGTTGGTTGTGCCAAAAGTAAAAGGTTGTGAGCAAATCAAACAGATTGAAGTACATTAAATATGAATGACATGTGTCATTACATTTGATGATCTCATTTAACTTCAATTGGAGTGGATTTGAAATAGAATGTTAAGAATGCGATTAATCGTGAGTTAACTCACCAATACTATGCAATTAATCAACACAATTTTTTTTATCGTTTGACAGCCCTAATTAATTTATATAAAAGCAGGACAATCCAGAATAAGTGTTGGTGAGATGCTTAACACCGTTTGTTTACCTTGTTCTGTAATGGCAGGAATTGAGTTGAATATAATCTAACCTGTAGTAATATTTTCTGGTTATTTAGCGAAAGTAATAGTTGAGAGTGGTCAGGCAATACATGCAGTACTTTGGTGGTACTGTATGTGTTTAAGTGTCTGATTTTTCTAGGCATATGATAGTGCATTGCATAACAGCGGCCGCATCGCAGGTAGGTGCACCTTGGGTCCTGGGGTGAAGTTATGTCCAGTACAATAAGTTCTCAGCACTGGAGCCGTGAAAGCAGAGTGCAGTGGGAAAGTGGCTGCGAACAGTGTGTGTCCAGATAAGATGCCAGAGAAGCGATGTCATGTGGTTCTATCAGACTTACAGCGGAGAGGAAAAACACCATGCAGGTCAGCGAAAATCCACTGGTGTAGCCGAGGTAACCTGGCAAAGAAGGGAAAAAACCATCAGCATTGTGTTAATTTGTAAAAAACAAAACAAAAAACAAATCAAATCTGTATGTACTGTATCTTTATGACCACGTCTCTGGGAAGACGTGGACTCATTTGGTATAATCAATAAAGGATGTGTACTTTCTACAAGAGTGCTTTTGACCTCTTCGTGACAGAGAAAGTGACTTTAATTAAATTGTCCCACAGCAGTGAAATTTCAGTCTTTACTTTACAGAATATAAGGATCACTCAAAACAACCACGTTATATAATAATATTCTTCTTAAAAATAACAAAACAAAAGGTGATTAATCAAACGTTTTAATGACTGGTCGTAACATCCGTTTTGTTCCATTTTTGTAAACATTCTTGACTCCGGAACTGCCTAATGAAAAACATTGAGGTTTTGTAAGAGCGAGAGTCTAATTGGATTCCAGCTGTTACTGCCGCCAGTTGGAAGAAAAAAACACACTAATCACTTTGATATTTTAGTCTGAAATATCAGAAGGCGAGCTGATCTTAACACAAAGTGAAAACTCAAAATAGAATAAAATGTATTACAGTAGAAATAAAAGAATAATAACAATAGTAATAATTGAGAATTTATTTAACTAATAACTTCATATAGACATATATGAAGAGCGACAGTTTCACTGGGACAGGGATACAATGTAAAAATGTATTCATCCGAAATCCTAGAAAATTACAAAACCATAATACTGTTGTGTTGTTGTCTCACTACAGAGAGTGAGAAGGCAAGTATTGACGTCTATAGAGTTTCCTGTTTTAGGTCAAAACAATACATTTGCAACGTGCACAAACATTGTTGTGGCAGGTTTTTCGAGGACCATCCAGATACTGGATACTGCAGTATCTTCTACACACATGTGTCATTATTTTAAACATCAATACTTTCCTGAAAAGTAATGATTGTGTTGGACAGACTCACCCAGCTGCTTCATGAGAGCGAGGGGCAGGATGATACCGGCCGACACCATAATGACCAGGTAGTTTCCATTCAAGTACCACAAACTGTGTAGACAAATCATGATTACTATAGATAGCTCCATGCTTTAAACAGTGGCACAGAGGCAGTCTGCAAAAGACAAGTACTTCGTGTACAAAAATATATACAAATAATAAAAAAAAATTGATGATTTTAAATGTTTTTAATATGAGACAATATTATTTATCTATTTAGTAAAATTTTCTGTTTTGTTCTTTTATTCTGATTTTTTTGACATTAATTTTGTGTGATAGTCAAAGAAGACTGAAGATCTTTCAGATTCTTCAATTCGTGGAAGATAAATTCGCCAATGATGTACTGTAGTTCACGGAACACGGGGCAACGTGGTAAGGGATCAAATCCAATATGTTTTTACTGAATTGTATCAAATTAGATTTCATTTCATTTCATTTACATCCCTTTATTTTCCATTTCTGGGTCAGGGGGGTGGCAATCAGAAATGCCACCCAATTCACATAGCACCAGTCCCATGCTGATCTTCCCGCAGGTGGTGGGTCCACAGGAAGATGGCTGCTCCTTCGACACAGATGTGGTCTTGGTCTTGGCCTTGGTCTTTCAGCAGGGACTTCAGGCACATTGGGGTTAAGTGTCTTGCCCAGGGACACAACGACAGCAGACATCAGGGGGAGCAGTTGACATGGGTCGAGGTGGGATCGAACCCACGACCATTGGGTCCAAAGACCAGTGCTCTACCAACTGAGCTACTGTCGCCTCAAATTAGATAAATTTTTATAAGATCAGATAACATAGACTTTATTGATCTCACACTGGAGAAGTGAGTGAAGTTATGAAACCAACACAAACTTTTAAACCATGTACGTTTTGATATAAAATCCACAAAAATACTCCTCTGCGCTTGCAGTCAGTGGATAGTAAAGAGGAGTGGCGGCCGCAGAAGCTGATACGGCTCAATGTCAAGCTATTTACGACAACTATCTCCCAAACTTGGGCAAGGAAGCTCTTTGTGGCCAATATCCCCAGTATTAGCCTCCAAGCCTGTTATTCTTGACTGAGCCAGAGCTGTGGACAACACAATGGAGCCTGTTCCTTTCTACGCAGAAGTCTGGCTCGTGTATGTTAAGTATTTGAGGTTATAGTCCTGCTCGTTTAGGTCAGTAGGTCATCTGCGACAAGGAAGTCCAGCCAGAGAATTTCCCTTTCGATCCAAGTTACCCCAGCCAAGGACTATCACGAGGTGAGCTTAAAATGGCCATTATGTAACAAGAAACGTAAGGAGAAAATTAGAAATGTGCATGTGCGATAGTTTCATATCGACCAAGTTATTACGTTATTTTACCGTTTACATATGGACACTATAGACCTGAATGCCTTTTGTAATTCTGCATTTGTATAAATCTGGCAGAAATTATGCATTATAGGATTGGTTTCAGGACAATTTCCGCAATTTCCATAAGTCAAAAAATTCTTCTGTAGGTCTTGTAAGTAAACCATTAAAAATATATATATTATTATTATTCTTTTATCTATTTTATAAACCCCCACGTCCACATACGCCATTGTGATTGTAGTTCCTAGTGTCAACAGGAAAAGTCCAAAGGAAACACGCATTAACTGCATACATTCGAATCATTGAATCACTTTCAGGCTCCAGTTTGGATTATAAAACATCGCTGCCCGTTTACAGAGGTGGGAAAAAGCTGTTAGATGGTTCAAAATTCAGCTGTTTTATTTTAGCTTATATGTTTCTTTTTGTGTTACTAGCAACACGTTGAAAAAGGTCTCAAAGCCATAATCACTTAATTGGTTATTACGTGGCTTATCGGTCCTTCTTATTTCCTTATTCAGCCCCTGATCTAAGCTGCTCCCCTGGGATCACATCACCTGCTCCGCTCTGTAAGTATACCACAGATAAAAAACTAAATGCACAACCGAAGCAAGGCTTTTCTATGGAACAATATAGAAAATCTGAGTCATGAGGGCATTTTCTAGTAATTGAATTTATTGAAATGGGGTTTGGAGAAAGGGACTGCATACAAAGTGCTTCAACAAGTGTTTTGTTTGTTGCCAGGATATTAAACTTGTATATCCTGTGTGTGTGTTTGTTTGTGCCCAGAATTGTCAAACTAGGACACTAACAGAACATGACACAAACTGATTATTTGTTTTGCAATTGTATCAAGTGTTGAGAGGTGCTTTGCTTCCACTGGCTGCAGCAGAACTACATTTCCATTTCTGTTTGAGAGCAGAGTTTGTTTTTAGATTGGAAGCAGCAGCTGGGATCTCTCTAAGCCCCTCCATGGCCTCTCTGTCCCAGGCTGATAGTGACGTGCACAGGAATGACACATACAAGATTTATGTCTGAGGCGTGTGGGTAACGAAACTTCCACACAGATAACCAAAAATGTCCTCCTAATCAATCAATCACAGGGTAGCTATGTCATCACACACCCCCGCTGTGAATCAATGAAAGTCCGAGTTTTAGCTGCCCTACGCGTGGACCAACCCCTTTGACCTGGCAGCTCCAGCGCTTGTCACATGCCAGTCACAAGTGGAAAATATCAATACTCACTCCAAGTTGGGGTCAGCCTTCAGGAACGCCTGGATCACAAGAGGCAGCTCCGATTTCACAATATACAGGTAGCTGGACATGGCTGCAGACATAAGAGGAGACAGCACATAGATCAGGTTTGGAATAAAAGTTTCTCATAAATGAGTTCCATGCGTTTTCACAATAAAGGCATATGATATATAAACAGCTACTTTACAGGTCTAACGTTCAAGGCAAATATTGACATCACCTTGAACATGTAAACATTTGGCTTGAAAATTTATCCACAATAAACAGAGAAGAAAACTTTGACTGCTAGGGGTATTTTAATTAAGCAGCATACAGACGCTTTTGTAGGTACAGCTATTTCTACTAGACAATGGGTTAATACAAGACTGTCTGTATAGTAGTACCAGTAAATGGTATTAAAGAAGGCTTTTATAACATGCTTGAGTCACCTTGCCCATGCACCTAAATAACAGTTTGACATATGGACACTCATTAGTGTGTTCTCACCTCCGATGTTCTGCAGGGTAATTGCGATCCCAGCGGCCATTTTTCCTGGAGTGCCAAACGCTCTGTACCCCAGCTGTTCATAAGCTCTGATTCCTGGTAAAGTCGTTATTGGTTCTCAGTCAGACGATTGTGGTATTATTTTTATTGTCTATAAGAGCTAAGTGGCGTGCTTACCCACAACCCCGGAGGCCTTGAGCAGCAGGTGGATGGAGTAACAGGACAGGGCAGCAACAGCGGTCAGAAGAAATCTGTAAAACAGCAACACTTTGTTATAGTTACGTATTTCTGTTCCTTGTTTAATCAAACAATTAAGAAAAAGCAGAGAAATGTTGTTGTAAACACTACAATTATGTAGAAGAGGCAAAAATGAAATTACAGAATTATGCAATCACAGAGTATAGACACCATACTTTTTCTAGATCTAGTGTTATGTGAAAAATCTTTTAGAAGCTTGATTCTTTCAGGATTCACACTAAATCTGAAATCCCGCCTATTTGTTATTTAAAAAACTCACTGATTAATGACTTATTCTGATCCTAAATAAACATGGTATAAGACATGAATGGACCAACTTAAAGTTGGTAAGAAAAATAATATATGAATGTGAAATATTCAATATACATTTGCAGTGCTTGCTACTTTACAAAGACAGTTTTTGTTGTGACTTATAAAAATGTACACTTACACTGTATGTGCCCTACATGTAGATTTAAAACATATAAAAGAGACTAAAACATCAAACTGCTCTTGGGCTTCAGCTGCTCGGGAAACACACAGTATATATTTACACAACATACAAAATCCATCATGTCTTGACAACTCCTCCACAATGATTTAGTTACATCAAACCAGTGAACACCACCTATATTTAGTGAGTAAAAATGCAACAGCTTCACTGCCATGACTTAGAGGAGGTTCAGACTTGCCCCTGGTACAGCCGACAGACCACAACATATAGATCTTACTTCCGTCTTTGGCTATTCTGGACATGGCCTTTTTACTGACTGCAGCTACACAAACAGTGACTACGTGACCAGAACAACCAGGGTTATGCGAAGGAGCATACAGATGCAGTTATTTTCAGTCTGCCTTTTCAGGGTTTGCTTGTGCTGTAACTAGGGCCGCATTGGGGCATGAGAGGGGGGTCAGAGGTCCCTGTATGTTACAAGGTGCAAGAACATAGCATCACTAAAACAATGTTTATAATGTCCCTGTTTGAAAAGGGTTCATATACACCAATACTATCATTATTCCATTGGAGATTTACAACACATTACATATCGTTGTATTATTTTTTCTTCGGGGAAATAGATTATTAAGAGGCTTTGATAACGTGTTGCTCATGGCATGTGTTAATAAAAGCTTTTAGTTTGCACGCACATGCACGCACACACACATCTCCCTCCCTCCCCATATGGTATTGTTTCATGTTCTCTCAATATCTGTGCTTCTTTGTATGTCCCCATGTTTTGTCGCTGCTTCAGTGTTACACACACACACACACACACACACACACACACACACACACACACACACACACACACACACACACACACACACACGTAATGTTTTATGTTGTCTCAATATTTGTATCTCTTTGTATGTCCCCATGTTTTGCCGCTGCTTCAACATTCTTTTTGCCGTCGTACCAATCCTTTTTCACTTTTGTATGTCTATGTATCACTTTTATGTATGTCTATGTATCACTTAATAAAGAAAAAAAAAAAAACAACAAAAACATTCCCGTCAGGGTACGGACTACTGGCACAGGAGAAGGTCTGTGATGCGCTGCCGAGCTATTCTTTTTAAACGTATATTGAACCTGTACTTACAGAAAGAGAAGAATGCCTGTGTTCGCCATGGCGTAGGCCAGTCCCAGGATCCCACTGCCCATAATGGCATTTCCCAAGTTAAAGACGGACATACCAAAAGAGGTCTTTCCTTCAAACTGAGGGAGAATGTTACTTATTTGAAATTGTGTTGGCCAAAATATAAATATCTTTATATATATTTCCCTTACATCTGTGAACCGTGTAGCCTTCTTTCCATCACCACTGGGTAAAAACTCTGCACTCTCCAACGCTCCATCAGGGTCATCATATCTGCAGGACAAGATCATTCAGATGAATATGATATGAAAAACATAATTATATTTTAAATGATATTATTGTGCAACATCATGTATTTCATAGATGCCTAGCAAACATAGGTGCATACCTGACAGGCGACAGGCCATTTCTGAACAAGGATCCACCCGGTGTCCAGAAGAACCCAAAGCAAAAACATGCATTTGAGAGATCAAACAGGGGAAGGAAGAAAGAGCCTCCTTAGTCATGTGTGTTCCTACATGTGTTTGATACAATTTCTGCTTCTGAAAGGTCAGATGGGCTTCGAGTCAGGGAGCAGGTTCTGAGGTGGGACTGGTTCAGGTTCAAATGATGGGCCTTGTGAATAAAAGTGCATTGGAATAGTATTGGTAAATAAATATTGTGGCAGCCTCTATATTAACAACAAAGATGTACAGGCACAATAGCTTTTCTTCCTGGTTTAGTGCCATCTCGGCCGATTTTAATTCCTCTATATAGAACGAGAGTGAGAAAGACAACTGGCTAGAGAGGCTAAGGAAGTAAGCGATACAGTATTACACCACACAAATGTAAGGACTTTCAAAAGGCCGAATGCATTATTAGTAACAGTGGATAAATGCGTAACTGGATGTGCCGCACACAGTCATGCGAGAGTCACCATGCCGCAGTAAAACAGCCGCAGTAAAACCAAACTATATAAAGCTTTTGTTACAAAAAGGAAACTCACGGATCCTCGTCCAGCTGTGTCTTCACTGGGACCGAAGTGTCGTCCCCAAAGTCGTGACTTTTCCCGTTGGATAAAATGTTCATCTCTGATTGAGAGGGCTCCATTTTGGTTTAGACCACAAAAAGTCTGGAAAAAAGAGCAAGTTATAAACAGTCTGGCCAAACATTTTTTTAATTGCACTGATGTATTTGAAAGAAGAAAAAAAACACATTTTGTTGTTACTATAATTAAAGCAGTTGAGATTAGAAGTTAACAAATAAATATGATTATTTCTCAATATAATCATAACATAAGAGCCAATAATAAAAACCAAGTTGGTTATTAAGGTTCAGAAGTCATCCCTAAATATTTTACTTTGATATTTTACTCAACGTTGTCATTAGATACATACTTTACATATTCCACACAGGTAAATTCAGGTTATTATCAGTAGCTGATACACATAACACAGAACATAGACATATCAACTATAACATTACAATCCAAAACAGGATCATACATTCAGGGAACACCAAACTAATCCTATAATTTGTACGTTTCATGGGACAATACTTGTACATTTCCCCAACAATATTTTTGTGCATAAAATATGTTGTGGAGCGTTTTAACCAAAGCTATTTATATAATGCCACCTTTACACTATTTCAGTGACTGAGAGTGACTCACTCGCTCTATTTGCACAGTCCACCTCCTACAACTGGACTTCTGCGTATTCTAACTGCACACTGCTCAGCTCGAGTCGTAAAGATGGAAAGACCAAAATTAACAAGAGAAAATACACAAAAAAGTAATGGCTGTATATTAGTCTTCTTTATTTGAGCTGAGGAGTAAATCAAGTGCAGAAAAAGGGGAATGCCAGGTATTCATTAAAACATCCAAATGTAAAGCAAGTGGCGGGAAAGTGTTTGGTCTTGGCAACTCTGAGTGGATTGGAGCCTTGGATTTGAGCCACAGGTCTTTTATAACTCATGCACTACCCTCAGGTCAAAGTGACCCACCACAGGGAGTAAAAGTAGAAGGAAAATAATACCATAAATTAGGGTCTAAACAGGTCTGTATGACCTGTATTGCTTGCCAACTTTGGAAATGTCATCAAAATTCAGAAAAAAAAATATTTAGGGTGTTTTAATCACCGTGGCAGGTCGACAAATTGCAACAGATCCCATGAAACAACTGTAGAACATTTCTGCTTAAATTTCAAGGTAAAAATACCATGTTTAGGTAAATATGATGCAGCCTGAGCACTGGGCTCCACAGTCTGCTGACTTCCTCTAAATCAAAGACCAATTGTGTGAAGAAGTTCAGAGGCTGAGGGTCCTTCCTGACACAATGGGGATCTGTGAGTGTGCTCCTGCAGCCATTGTACGACTGCTCAATTGTTTCCACATCGTCCTCGCTTATCACTGTCATCGTTATTTATAGTTCAAACAGGACTCACATTCATACTGCAATACTGATGCTGCAAAGACATGGTTTGTAAATACTTTTCATAGCATTTAAACTGAGAACAATTGGTTGAAGAGGAACTCCAAAATGAATCACAATGATTTCAATGCAGCAATAAAGAGTATGCCTAACAGTGTTTCATGAGAGTAAAAATGCAGGGGTTAAAGTTGGGGTTGCTAACTTTCTATAAAATGTTATAAAGTTAAGTCTATAATAAAATCCGCCTAGTTACTCACTCTCCTAACTAAGAGTGTGACACTAAAACGATAAATATGTATCGTGATACTTTCTCGCGCAATCGATTACCGATATGCTTTTGCTAAGAATCGATTTTTTAAAAAATATTACAAAAATACTAATAAATAAGTATTTATACTTAATATATGGCATCATTACGCATTCTAGAATTTCTGTAGAATGTTCATATTGATTTTATTGGATGTAAGACAGATAAGTAAGATTTTTACTAAAATGTGCAGGTTAAAAGGCATTTTTGCTTGTTCACTTTAATGTAACACAGGACACTTTATCCATTTATCTTGAAAAAAGTGTATTTTTTCACTTAATTTATGCCATAAATAAAAGAAAAATATTATCGTAGGTATATTTTTGACCAAATATACCTACATCTGCATCGTCATATCGTGAGATAATCGTTATCTTGAGCTTTGTATCGCACATCGTATCGTATCGTGAGGTTCCGACCCCTGCTCCTAACCTAAAGTGATTTCTCTCTCTGTTAAACTTAGAAAAGTTAAAAAGAGAGGACAGTCTACCTCAGCCACCCAGTGATGTTTTGGGCTCCTAAGTAAAAAAGTTTCTCAGGGCGATTCTCGAGGTTAATCACTGTGTTCTTCCCATGCGTATGATTTGTCCAAATGCACCAGATTCACAGCATTTATATTTCCAATAAAATTACATTGGCTGTACGTTTGCAGAACAAGCGCTGGGTGATCAGGGAAAAAAAAAACAATCACAAATGTTTTGCTATATTGACCAATCTCGATTTCTGATTCTATTATTTCAAATACTCAGTAATACAACAACAACAAAAACTATCTTGTGTATTGTGTATCTTGGAAGGCCAAGATACCCGAGTGTGTGAGGTGAAAAACTGCCGGTCCTCCTCCTGACTCAGTTTTATCCTCCATAAGAGATTGAAAAACCTCCTCAACCCTTTGCACTGTGACTGCCACATTATTGGTGACAGTCTTTCCATTTTAATCTGCTATCAATAATCACAATCTGGAAAAACATAACGCTAACTTTTGTCACAACTCTACATGAAACTAAATCAAATGTGGTTTTATAAAACATATGACCATTCAAATTCATGTTTTATCTTATCCCTTGTTGTGCACACATTATTGCAGGAAAAATATAAACCCTTTGAAATCATATTTTCACAATACAGCAAAATAGGGGACATGAGTGATAAAGATAAGTTAACGATGTGTTTAATCCAGACACAGTCGTCCCGCAGCACCCGTCCGAGATGGATCAAGTGGCAGACGAGTAAAAGCAGGGCAGGCCATCTGGGCTTTTTATACAGTCAGATACAGTTTCTGCTGTGTAATCTCCTCTGGCACATTGGGTCCAGCACTAGTCTAGAGCATCTCTTGGAAGGCCTGTCACAATAGTCTATATAATATATCCACATATTGTTCAATAACTGATGGGGGGGGGGGGGAATGATGGAAGAAACAATACATTTTAGGGTTCAATATTTATCTTCTGTATTTTGATATTTTAGCCATGGGGATTTAGATTTTAGCCGTTGCGATTTGAATTTAGGGCTGAGTATTACTAAATTATCTTTTATATATTCTAAACACAGGCATTATTATGGAATATAACAAACAAAAAAGTATTGTCGTGACAGGCCTCGGCTTCTTTTGCCAGATTCAAGATTAGTTTCTCAATGCTCAATATTCTATTTAAACTTTTATTGCAACAGTACCCTTTCCAAATACATCAGTAAATATATTTTCCATCTGACATATACACATTTCTGATGTATATGTAAAAAAAAATTAAAATATTGCAATTGCTGTTTTAAAAAAATTTCATTAAAAAAACAATCTTCCTGAAATGCAGGATACAGTCTCAAATCCTGCAGTTTTGAGCACATTATAATGCATTGCCAGGATAGTACTGAATATTATTTTTATTTTTTCATTTATAGTATGTCCCAGTCTTCAGACATTTTTCCAATTAGACATTATGAACGGATTTGAATTTGGGATTTTTCATGACCAACTTGTAATACTTATTCTCATAAATGTCTGTTACTGGCTGCAGATCTGCGCACCATCGTGAACACTTGAAAAAGATTATGAAAAGATTAAATACAGCGAAGCAGAGAGCAGCCTGTTGAGAACATACAGTCGTCCGTCAGAGCGGGACGGTGCTCCCAGCAGCTGGCATTAACTGGCATCCTGCTTATCTCATATATCCCCTTTCAACCCCCAAACTGCTCATATATCATGTCTGTCGTAGCCATGTTGCTCCACATACATTGCATAGAGACGTATCTGTTTCTACTGAGGAAACTGGACACTTTCGGAAGCCTGTGGCCTGTTGCATAAGGAGTTCTTTGGCTGTATCCATGGATGAACCTTACACCGTGTATTAAGAGTGGACTGACGGAGTGCTGACGTCAGAATGGTGATTGCCAAACGTGGAAGAAGCCAGTTTGTACATAAGCAAGCAGACTTCTTTATATGGGAGTTTGTTAAAACAGGGTTTAGATTTGTGTGCGCTGACATGCTTGTAATCTGACTCCTTGCCGGTGGTGGCGTATCCAGAAACAGAATTTTCCACTGAATTCTTATGGCACCATTTTCCTCTTGAAAAACGGCTTCAAGGCCTGGTCCAAAAGTCGGCTCTTGGCTCAACGCTACGTTCCAGATGCATGTTTTTAGCATTGGTGTTACTTGAGAATGAAGGCATCTGAAAAGTCAATCCTTACGTATATGGCTCTCAATTTGAATTTACAAAGACAATATAAAAAAATATAAGCACCAGGATCATAGAGAGCATTAAACCACAGAGTATTAAAGCCCAAAAATTTTGAGTGTGACACAAACAATTACTAAGCTAAAGGAGTTTTCAGTCTAAGAAAAACGAGCCAGAGTGATTTGGAGCAAAAATCCATACATGAGAACTTCCGTATTGCGCTTCATGGAGCTAGCGAGTTAGCATTGTCTATTTACAGTGGGGCAAAAAAGTATTTAGTCAGCCACCGATTGTGCAAGTTCTCCCACTTAAAATAATGACAGAGGTCTGTCATTTTCATCATAGGTACACTTCAACTGTGAGAGACAGAATGTGAAAAAAAAATCCAGGAATTCACATTGTAGGATTTTTAAAGAATTTATTTGTAAATTATGGTGGAAAATAAGTATTTGGTCACTTCAAACAAGGAAGATCTCTGGCTCTCACAGACCTGAAACTTCTTTAAGAAGCTCTTCTGTCCTGCACTTGTTACCTGTATTAATGGCACCTGTTTGAACTCGTTATCTGTATAAAAGACACCTGTCCACAGCCTCAAACAGTCAGACTCCAAACTCCACTATGGGCAAGACCAAAGAGCTGGAAAAGAATTGTAGACCTGTACCAGACTGGGAAGAGTAAATCTACAATAGGCAAGCAGCTTGGTGTGAACAAATCAACTGTGG